ATCCGGATACGGGAGGAAGTCTTCTATCTTGTATCTTCACGACCCATTAGTCCAGCCCACGTCACATAGCCCTGATGCCTAAGGACCCCTTAATCCAGGACTCCCTCAGTTGGGCCCTCCCGCATGCCGGCAGTGCTGCTGCCCCTAATCCCGGCTCCACTTCTTCATTGTGCAGGCCCCACTTTGCGGTGTTGTGGTGAGACGGCGTGGGAAGCTTCTAGACCATGTTGGCGTAGGGTGGTGGACGGTATGGTGTCGAGCTCCGGAGCGCCCGAGGTGAAGGTTGGGATCGGGAGAAATCCCTGTCGGTCTGGCCAACACCGACGTAGTGGCGCCTAAGGGTGCCGTCGAACCTTCCTGAAGGGCGTCGGGGGTTACTCTTCCTTTCTCCTCGCCACGTATCGGGGGAAACCCTTGGCAGCAGCATTGTCATCGTCGCGTCCCTTCTTGGAGGTGTTGATTGGTACCGATGCTTTGGAGTCTAGGAGCTTGATGGGAGATCTCCGGTGGGCGCAGCGGTTGCGAGGCTTCTTCGTTTTGTTTGATCCATCGTTGTCGGCATTTATTCCCTTTGTATTTTCTCTTTAGTTTTTTTTGGGGTGGCGGTGCTGCTTTAGTCCAAGATCTATCATTGGTTGTATCGATGTTGGTTGCTTTTGTAAGACAAAGTGAGAAAACCTTTTTCGACAGTGAACCCAACGTGTTTTGATTTTTTAATTAGTGTGGTGCGCAAAATGCTAATCCTTTCCACAGCTGTAAACAATAAATGTACTTTTAGTTTGGATCAGTGCTAATGGACAGAAGCTATGTAAAGTAACATCTCTTGTTTCGCTGGGCTGGACTCGATTGCGCTGCTAGCCTAGCAGCTAGGCATCAGTAGGAGTAGTAGCTGCAGTGCGATGCGACGTTGCATGGCTACATGGGGCCATGGCGTGTTGGAGCCTCCCTGTTTGACCACATTTTTGAGAAACCTCCCAGCTTTCCCACTTGTGCGCCTACTCTGGCCTGGATTGGCGACGGTGCGTGCGTGTTAGCTTAATTTAAACTTATTAATCTGCAAGTCTATGTTGGTTTGTAGTACTAGTACAAAAAAAGCTAGCTTGAGTCGGTTTGCTTTCCTTGTATTAGTGGTGTCCGGCCAGAATTAGTAGGGTGTGATCAGCGTGCTAGTTATTAGATTAGGAAAGTACCTAGTACGGACTACGGAGTAGTATTTGGAGTAGGAAGAGTCCGGTTGTGTTCCTCGGGCAGTACTAGTTTGAGTCTAGTTTGGTTTAGGTGTCGAGTAGGTTTGGAACCTTTGGTGCCGGTTGGGGGTGTATATATATACACAAGGTGTCATGTAAGTTTTGGTAACCGTGAAGAGAAAAAAAAGAAAAAAAAACACGACAAGGTCCTTGGTTATCAGTTTTTCTGCATATCTTTATCGTGATTTTATGTGATCGACCGGATTTCGAACAGTGCGCATCTGATGCTAGCTCCTACGAGTAGATCTTACTCATGGCTCGCTCCACATAAACTCTCCTCCACCTCCCAGGCTCCGACCACCTCGCCACCGCCATTCTGCCTGCCTACGCCGCTGAGATGACAACCAACAGCCCGCCCGGCCCCAAGCGCAAGCGCGATTCCGAGCCCACCTCCCTCATGTCCCTCGGCGACGACATGCTCGCCGAGATCCTCAGCCGCCTCCCGTCGCTGCCCTCGCTTGCCAGCGCCGCCCTCGCCAGCCCGCGGCTGTGCGGCGTGGCCTCCTCCCCTGCCGTCTTGAACCCCTTCCTTTTCCGGGCTCCGTTACTCGGCTACTTCGTGTCGGCCGCCGACGGCGCCGTCCCCGCCTTCCACCGCGCGCTCCTCCGCCGCGACCGCCACCTCGCCGCCATCGTCCGCCGCAGCGACTTCCATCTCACGGATCTCAAATACGATGGGCGCCTCATGGACTGCCGCCACGGCCTCTTACTCCTCGGTAGCCGCCGTCAGTTGGTGGTGCTCGACCCCGTCTACCGCTCACGACTGCATATACCTATACCCGAGAAACTCATCTACAGCAGGTCGCTCCTCCACTGCTTCCTGCCGGCTTGCGGCGGCGGTCAATCCTCCTTCAGCGTGCTCTCCATGGAGAAGAAGGGCGGCAGGGTGCGCGCACGCGTCTACAGCTCCCGCACGGGCGAGTGGTGCTCCCACTCGTGGGCGCCCAAAGGTATTAAAGGACCGAGGGAATCCAAGCTCGGCTGGCCGATGCACGCCGGTGGGTGCATCTATTGGAGGAGCATTAAAGGAGATCAGCTCACCTCGCTCGACGTCGGCGCCATGGAGTTCTCCCACGTCGAGCTCCCGGAGAACCTAGACTCCGATCCGTCGTTGTACGCCGTCGGGGAAACGGAGGACGGCACAACCTGCCTCGTGGCCGTGAGTCGCAACCTCGTCTTGCAGGTATGGTTCCGCATGGAGGAGGACAAGTCCTGGGAGCTACAGCGGGAGGTGAATGCTTCGAAATGGCATCTGCTTCCAGGCCGAGTGCAGAAGGTCTGCGATGTCACCGCCGGCGTCGTGCTGCTCTCCATGGGCACGGAGAATTGCGGCCTCCACTACTGTGCCTTTCGCCTCAAGAACGCCCTCCAGGAAGGCACCACCACCGCCAGGCACCAGTTGGAGGCAGACTTCTTCACATTCGATGCACGGGTGCACCCCTATTTCATGACATGGCCACGCCCCAGCCTAAAGGTGCTTCAAACTAGTTCCTCCTCTCATTTGCTTGCTTGACTGCACATTTACTTCTTGCAAAACATCTGTTCATATATTATTTGCTACTCCCCAGCAGCTCCTCCCCAGCCTTGTGGATTGGTCGGCTCTTTTTTTGTTTGCTAATACTCCATTTCTTAGTTGTTAATCTAGTGACTAATGTAAATTTCAGACCGGTGGTTAGAACCTTTTTTAAACTAAGCCAAGCTAATGTTACCCGGCCGGGGCATCAATGTTAAGAATTGTATACGATGTAGTTTTTGTTGCCTGTGAGGCTATGAGTGACCATGTCTATTACTGAAAGGTCTATTTACAGTTTTTCCAAAATTCCCAAACTGAAGGGCGAAAAATTCTTCCCAATCGTAAAAACTACTACTACTACTCATTACCCACTATAGTAGTTACAGTCAAGGTACTTTCCAAACTGAAGGGCTACTTCCCATGGATACAATGTTTACCCCTTCTCTTCACATGTTCTCAAGTTGTTTTAGCTACTGTCAAGGTAGAGCAGCCCATACCATAACTGTGACCGGCGCAGCTTGGCTGACTTAGCTAGAGTGACTATGTCACAGCTTACAGTACGTGACCCAGCCACCCTGAACCGCCAGATCATAGGTGATCTGAAATCGTTTCACTGTACGTGAGCATCAACTCTGAGTCGTTGATCTGAAATCAGACCGCTCACAACAGGCCAAGCCAGCGACACCATACACTTCAAGTAAGCGGACCCCCATCAAACTGCAACCAGTCAAACACGAAATGGCTGCAATGAAATGATATATTGGCAGTTTTGAATCACATTTGGGAGTCTCCTATTCAGTACCTCCATCTTACAACTTATTTGATTTTGTCTTTGATATTTGCCGTTTTCAGGCTGGTAGCTCTAACACAAAGGAAACAAGTCTGAAGGATCAAGAAACTGGTGGCTTGAAGAAGAAGAAAACAAGCATGAAAGATCAAGAAGCTGGCTGCTCCAAAAAGAATTAACCAGTCTTAAGCGCTAAGGATCTGAATGCTTATGCATTGGAGTCTTCATTAGTTGTTTAGCGGGTATACCTTTGGTTCTGGCCTCCTGGGTTTGCACTGCTAAGTTAGTTGATCCAATTAGCCATCTCCTGGCATGAACAAGAACTTATGGTCCTGTTAGTTAAGTTCCACTTATTATGTCAATCCATATCATGGTTTCTATTGGTAAAGTTATGTGAGCATTCTGAAGAAAACTTGTGCCAAATTCTATCTTACGTTTCCCAAGCTGAAGTGGTTCCATATTTTGCTGCCTCCCATGCTTGTTTGTGGGAAATTGGTCACGATTAGCAAAAATTGCATCATGACATTCTAGTTCTACTAGCAAATATGCCCGTACGTTGCAACTGGAAAAACAAACCATCGTGCACCCGTAATGAGTTGTCACTTCTCCACCTATTTATGAAAAACGTGATTAGTCTCAAAGCAGTGTGTTTGGTCATCACATTTTAGCATGGACAAATTGTATGATAAAAGGATTTGGTTGCAATTAATGACCAAAAGGATGTATCTGCAATTGTGTCATACATTGAAATAAAACTTTGTTAGATTTAGCCCCTTATTAATTGCTCAATGCTCTCGAGCGAGGATGTGGATGTGCTCACATAGCAGCGATTTAATGGTTCTACTTTTCTAATTTGTTTGGAAGTGTATTAATGGTCCTAAATAAGGATGTGAATACGCGCATATAGTAAAACATATAATTATTGGTTCCAAAAAAATGTTGATGTGCTCATATATGAATAGTTTGGCTAACAATCAATATTATATAAAACTACCATCTTTACAAATTGTGTATGTTAATATTTGCTAAAGATTTGCATGAACCACGCATATACAACTAGAAACGGTTATGTATCAATTGCTACTAAGTTTGGATGTATGGATATGGATGAACTTTAATACCTTCCATGTCACGCAAAAAATTATTGAGCACCAAAGTTTCTCATACACTATTCTAAAAGTGTCTCTGACAATTGGACCTAACATGACTATACATAGATGAAACTTTTTTTAGTGAACCATCTAGTATTAGTCAAACCCCATGTGGAAGATGGACAAGTTTTATGGTCCTTGGGGTGATAATTTTGTTTCTAAATGTCCACTTCTATATAAGGGAAGTACATCTCCACATATATCCCACTAATATGTCGTTAGCCAACAGTTTCAGTAAATCTTGTAGATCCTTTTGGTTCCTACTGATAGTAGTAGGTTTGTTTGTCATTATAGGATTTGGTATGCCGAGGAGGGGTAGGCGGTTGGGTATCGCTTACGTCCATGATGACAAAGAGCGTGATGTCACCTTCTTCAAGCGACGTGGCGGTTTATTCAAGAGCGCTGCCGACCTCAATGCCATCACTGGTGCTAGGGTTGTTGTCATCCTGGAGACAGGAAATAAGAAGATGTACTCATTCGGGGCGCCATCAGCTGGCCCCATTGTTGATGCTTTTTTGTCAGCAGCACCGCTAGGAAATCGACTCACTTACAAGGAAACAAGTGCCAAGATTTCCCGACTACAAAGTGAGGTGGCTCGGCTTGATATGGAGCATGGGATGGAGGATAAGAGGAATCAACTCTCCATCCAGCACGTGAAACAAATCCAAGAACAGTACCCAGGTATGATGGCAAACCTTATCTTCTCGAAGGAACAATATCTCAACCTGGAAGATGCTAAAAAGCTCTTCAATGAACTCTCTCGTGTCCATGAGGACACCAGACACCGGCTGCTTGAATTGCATCATAGCTACAAAACCATAACCGGTGGTGCAAGCGTGATTCAAAACATGCTACCATCAAGTGGTCCACCGCCGAAGAGCTTGAAGACTATCCCTTCATCAGTGCACTCAATGTGGGATCACCATCTTTCGCAACACCATATGCCTTCCGCTCCGGTAACATCAGCACCAGAACACAACGTGGAACCACTTTTTCCTCGTGTACCACAAATGTTCCATGTTGCATCAGCAGCTTCAGCGCCCTTGCTACCCAGCTACAAGGCATACCTAATCAGGTGCAAAATCTGCCTCCGGCAGATTTGCATGTCGAGGACTATATAAGCCCTGGCAACACAGTGCACCCACCACAAAACAATGCAAGCCCTGTCTCAGCAACTGAGCATAATATGGTAGACTCTCCACTATTGGTCTACTCAAGTAGCAATGATTTTGTTGTGGATGACCCATTTGGCCATGATCAATGTGGTTTTGCTCTACCAGATCAACAACTCTACAATGGATTTCTGGGGATAGATGGTTACTTGGGCTATAATGGTACCGATGTAGGACAATCTTCTATGGGTAATGGTGAATTGGTTGATGCACCGCCAAAATCTTATTCTGGCAAGCAAGATGTCGATTCTCGTATAGAGAATGGAGGACTTCCATAGATGCTAGTTAGCACTTACACTTTAGTGCGATATTGAAATAAACTCTAGGTACATTTCCATTTGGAAAATTGTTACAGTACCATTTGGACTATTTACTAAGCCACATTCAAGGCAATAATATGAATGTTCGGTATTCCATGTCTTAGATCATGAAGATTGTTTTATCTATATGTCTCTTATTGTTTTCATAATAATCAAATATTTTATTTTCCTTGTTGAGATGCTATGCATCTTATGGATGAAAGAAGGGAAACTGGATAAAGAATAAATACTCTCTTCAAATATTGCGATCCAACCATTAAGGATGCCAATGGGTGGGGTTTGGATCGGGTTGAACAATATAAAATCCATATCCATAAAGACAATCCACGCCCACTCAGGAAAAATCCATAGGCAAAAAATTGTGTTGATATCCAAACCTGATGGATATCCATCGTGTCCTCTCAAGACATATACATAAGACATAACGCGATGTTCGCATAAGCTCTTCCATTCTTCACCTCATGGCAGGCTAGGCTTCACTTATGGAAATCAATGTCCACTAATATCCTAACCTCATTTAGTATTTTTATTCCTTGGGAACAAGGTAGACCTTCCCAGACTGTCAAGTTTGAATGAATCTTAATCATTCACATCCCTTTTGATTGAAATTAACTGATTTGGCAAAACCTAATTACTAATTACATTGCATATGTATAGATCATGTCATGTGTCCAAAAGTGAACTATTTGCTGATTTTTGTACTGCCACCAACTAATCAACGAATTGCCCACCTCTATAAATCTATGCTCCAATTACTACTCATAATTGTCGGTAAATACTTGCGAAAGCTCACGAACAAGCATGTGGTGCACATCCGTGTAAAGAACACCGGGCGTAGCTCAAAAAATATTCTCATATTATGGGCCAAAAAGAGTAGGAACAAGAAAATTAGCTCGAACACCGCCTTGTTGCATCCCCATGCCATGTGCTCATGTTCTTGCGTGCCTACACGCTCTGCACGATGCGTGCTCTGCATTTTTGTGCTCACTACCCTGCCTTGCAGTTCACGGTCTTGCGTCAGTGCACTGCCGCTCCTTGGGGTCAATGCGTGTGTGGAAAGGTGGAGGTGGGGGGTCGAGGGGATACGGAGCTGCGTTGTCGCAAGCCAGTGGCACTAGCTGCACAGTGCTCCACCATACGTGTATGTAGTGTCTGACAGTGCCGACCATCTCTAGGGCTGCGAGAGGAATAAGTTGAGGAGACTGAGTCGATGCTTAACGGCGAGTCATTAAACGAGGAGATAAAAGGATGAGAAAGGGCGTTAGAGATTGAATGTCAACTAATAAAAGTTATGGTGGGAGTTGTGCAATTTCTTTTGCATGTTTTAGATAATAAAGGGTAAAATAACAGTGGGACATGTGACTGTGGGGGTAGGGATAGCAGAATATTTCCCATTAAGTCGGACTATCGGTCAAGTTTGGATATACCCACTGATACAAGACTATGTCCATGCCCTACCCACGAGTAACTGGGTCAGGTTTGGATGCCCTCAATGGGTGTAAAAGCATATCCAAACCATGTCCATTTGGGTCGGATATCCATAATTATCCATGTCCATGGGTAAAATTCAACAAAAAATAGTAGCTATGATCATCAAATAGATTGAAATATAGTACAAATCCGAATTCCTGCTCAAGGGACAAGAATCGATACTTCCTTTGATCGCATAAGACTAGAACAATAACAACCCAATATAAGATTAATTTGGAATTATGGTAAACAGCAGTTTCTCTTAATAGATGCCAATGTGTCTTGTCATTAAATTAAAATCACAGTCTACGAAGACATGACGACAGCTACATTTACGCACCACTAACAACATAAATGTGCCATTACCATTAAAAACTCCGTAGCAAGGACGCCTCCCGGGTCGCACGCGCGTGCGGCTCCGGAGGCCCCCAAACCCTAGACCAGCAGGGCCCCTGATCTCCTCCTCTGGCTGCTGCCGCCGCGGGCAGCGGGTGCTCAAGGCACCCCCCTACGGGCCCCTTCGCGCGGAGTGGGACGTCTTAGGGGGCGGCCATGGTGGTTGGGTGGCCGGCGGTAGGTTTCGCGGTGGCTGTCGCTGGCGCACGGCAAGGAGCGCGGCGGAGAGGCAGTCCCAGGCCAGATCTGCAACAGCGTGGTGGAGGAGGGTGGCGCGCCGATGCAGATGGGGACGATGATGCGAGCTCCAGGCCATGGTGGCTGTGGCACTGAGAGGCCCAGGCCAGGAAGGAGTCCATGGCGGGCAGCGGGTGGCCGGCCACTGTCGTGCCCTGAGCGCGCGGTGGCGCTCTCAGATGCGGTGGCGCTAGAATGGTGGAAGGAGGTGCAGGTCAGATCCGAATCACCCCAGATTCGATCTGGACCTTTGGGGCTGATTTCGCTGCATGGCAGTGCCCTGGTGCGGGTGAAGGCTGTCATAGTGGATTTGGCTCTTGCACGTCATGGTTGGCTGTTGCGACTCCTCGTCTGGGTGGATGGTGGTTGTTTGGTCGCGTTCCCTCGGCAGTGTGGGTGAGGAAGGACCACGGCTACGCGGCTTCGTCGACAAGTTGTTGCGGTGACAGCGGTGTGAGGCTTCATGGATGGCTCTACCTAATCCTTGGAGGTATGGAGATGCGTGGCATTGCAGATGAAAACCTTGTCCGGTTGTAGCCGGGCCGGCGGCGATGGCGCCAGTGGGTGTCATTCCCCTCTTTGGAGGTGTCGCCGAGTGTGTCGCCATCTTCCTCGCTTGCTTGGTGTTGGCAATTGTCTCCAGGCGAAAGCCTTGATTCGGTGCTCGATCAGCATGATGTCCGTGTCTTCAACGTCGTACTTTTATTGGGAGACATGGTCTGGAGGTCCTACGTTGCGCTCCTCTAGTGTTCGCCGCTGCCCTTGATCGTTCTTCTCATGTGCAATGTATGGTCATCATTGGTGATTCCAAGACGGCACCTTCCTCGGGTCGGATCGATTCCTGCCATCCTCTTGCCACCTCTGAAAGGATCGATATAGTTGACTAGAGGGGGGTGAATAGGCAACTAACAATTTTTAGCTTTTCTTTAACAATTTAAACTTTGCATCAAAGTAGGTTGTCTAGATATGCAACTAAGTGAGCAACCTATATGATGCAGCAATGATAAGAACACAAGCAAGCAAGAGATACAACACAAATAAGCTTGCACAAGTAAGGGCGCGAGATAACCAAGAGTGGAGCCGGTGGAGACGAGGATGTGTTACCGAAGTTCCTTCCCTTTGAAGGGAAGTACGTCTCTATTGGAGCGGTGTGGAGGCACAATGCTCCCCAAGAAGCCACTAGGGCCACCGTATTCTCCTCACGCCCTCACACAATGCGAGATGCCGTGAATCCACTATTGGTGCCCTTGGAGGCGGCGACCGAACCTTTACAAACAAGGTTGGGGCAATCTCCACAACTTAATTGGAGGCTCCTAATGACACCATGAAGCTTCACCACAATGGACTATGGCTCCGCGGTGACCTCAACCGTCTAGGGTTCCCAACACCCAAGAGTAACAAGATCCGCAAGGGATTAGTGGGGGAATCAAATTTCTCTTGGTGGAAGTGTAGATCGGGGCCTTCTCAACCACTCCCGAGCAAATCAACAAGTTTGATTGGCTAGGGAGTGAGATCGGGCGAAAATGGAGCTTGGAGCAACAATGGAGCTTAGGGTTGGAAGAGGTGGTCAACTAGAGGTAGGAGACGACCCTTTTATAGTGGTGGACGAAATCCAACCGTTATCCACTTAACCAGCCCGCGACATGCGGTACTACCGCTCCGGAGGCGCGGTACTATCGCAAGGCCACGCGGTACTACCGTGGGCGACCACAGTACTACCGCGGCAGCAGCGGGGGCTAGAGCAAGCCTAACAGGGGGCAGTACTACCACGAGCGCGGTACTACCGCTCCCCCTTGTGGTACTACCGCAAGGCAGGAAAGCCCTAGCCTGGGAAGGGCGCGGATGAATAAAATTACATTTGTGCCTACTTCCGCTGGAAAACAAACGGTGCAAAAATCTGACACGGTACTACCGCTGGAGAGCGGTACTACCGCGTGGCTGCTGGATCAGGCCGCGCATGGTACTACCGCACACGAGGCACGGTACTACCGCGGAGGCGCGGATGTAAAAAATTACATCCGCCCCTACTACCGCAACGCAGCGGTACTTGGCCTGGAGGCCACGGTAGTACGGCTCCAGAGGAGCGGTACTACCGTGGGCTCCCACGGTAGTACCGCGCCTTAGGCACGGTACTACCGCAGGTGCCTGCGGTACTACCGCTCCAAGGATCAGTACGACCGCAAGCACAGCAACAGCAGCCCAGACAATCACAAAGAGGATAAACGGGGGATGCTCCAAAGTGCAAGGGAAAGGTGGAGACAAGGAAGGGAACATGTACGTGATGATTCCACCCAAACCTTTCCGACGCGGAACCCCTCTTAATAGTACAGCTTTCCTACGACTCAAATCCATCAAAAAGAAACGTAGAGAAATGCCGTCTTCAATAGTCTTCGAGGGGCACCAAACTATCTTGTGCCTAGTGCAGAAATGTCTGAGAAACTTAAGGCACACGATTAGTCCGCAAAAGCATTGTCATCAATCACCAAAACACCTTAGGGATAAATATGCCTTTACAACCTCCTTTAG